TAAAAGAAGAAAGCGCAATAAAAGGATAGAAAGAGAAGAATAAGAATAAAGAAATAAGAATATAGAAATAAGAAGAATGAAGAGAGAAGATAATAATAAAAGAAGAAAGCGCAATAAAAGGATAGAAAGAGAAGAATAAGAATAAAGAAATAAGAAGAATAAAGAAATAAAAGAATAAAGAAATAGAAATAAGAATAAAGATAGAAAAGGATAAAGAAATAAGAATAAGAATAAAAGAGATAAAGAGAAGAATAAGAATAAAGAAATAAGAATAAAGAAATAAGAATAAAGAAATAAGAAGAATAAGAATAAAGATAGAAAAGGATAAAGAAATAAGAATAATAAGAATAAAGAAAGACAAATAAAGATATAAAAACAAAAAAAGAACAATAAAGAATGAGAAGAAGAATTAATAATAATAATAATAATAATAATATTAATAATAATAATAAAGACGCCAGAGTAATAATAAAAAATAAACAACAAACAAGAAAGAATAAGCAAGAAGAATAATAAAGAAAAAGAATAATAATTAACAGCAATAAAGAACAATAGAAAAGAATAATTAAGAATAAAGAATAAAGAATAAAGAGTAAAGATAAAGAATAAAGATAAAGAATAAAGATAAAGATAAAGAATGAAGATAAAGAGTAAAGAGTAAAGGGTAAAGGTAAAGATAAAGAATAAAGAATAGAGAGAAAGAATAAAGAATAAAGAATAAAGAATAAAGAATAAAGAATAAAGAAAAAGAGTAAAGAGATGAAGCACCGTCAGGGGGCGCCGAGAGTTGAGAAGCCTCCCGAGTTTAAAGACGCCAGAGGCGAGGTTTCAGCAGCAGATTTATCATTGCTTAAAACACCTGCTGCTGCTGCTGCTGCTGTTGCTGCTGCTGCTGCTGCTGCTGTGCTCGCTGCTGCTGCGTTGCTGCGACCCTCCGACTTGCTTATAAAAAGAGACAGCCGTGCTGCTAACTCCTCCAGAGGCAGCCCCAAAGAAGCAGCAATATCTGCAGCAAGACGCTCAGCTGAACCCCACTCTGCTGCTGCTGCTGCTGCTGCTGCTGCTGAAGCAGCACCAGGTAAACCTGCAGGAGACAACGCGCTGCTGCTGCTGCTGCTGCTGCTCTCTTGGGCTTTCGCTAGAAGAGAAGAACCGTCCCCTCCAGCATCGTCCATTTGCTGCTGCCGCTGCTGCCGCTGCTGCTGCCGTTGCTGCTGCTGCTGCCGCTGCTGCTGCTGAGGGTTAACTAACGCATACCCTCCTCCTTCTTTGAGAGAACAGAGTGCTGGCGAGACTGCATCAGCAAGGCCCCCCACAGTATCCAGAAGGTTGCTGCTGCTGCTGCTGCTGCTGTTGTTGCCTGCTGCTGCTGCTGCAGCAGCAGCTGCAGCAGCAACTGCTGCTGCTGGGAAGTTGAGCAGCGCCGCCTCTCCTACGCCATCGGCAAGGGAGCTGCTGCTTTTGCTGCTGCTGCTGCTGCTGCTACTGGATCGCCTGGGGGCCCCCTCGTCAGCTGCTGTTGCCTTGCTGTGATGGGCTGCTGCTGCTGCTGCTGCTGCTGGAGAGATCTGTCTCTCTGGTTTGCGTGCCTTAGAGCCGCCTCCATCCCCGTTTGCTGCAGCTTCTGCTGCTGTTGCTGCTGCTGCTGTTGCTGCTGCAGGCAGGAGGTCGCGCTGCCGTTTCCTGCTCCCGCGGCCTGTCTGCTGCTGCTGCTGCACCGCAGCAGCAGCAGCAGGCGTCGAAGCAGCATTTGTTGCAGAAGAAAAGACAGCAAGGTTTCTGAGTGCGGAAGCAGCATCTGCATCATCTCTTAGCTGCTGCAGGGACTCCCGTTTACCGTGTTCTTGCTGCTGCTGCTGTTGTTGCTGCTGCTGCAGGTGATTATGATTATTGTGATTAAGCTGTTGTTGCTGTTGCTGTTGCTGTTGATGATGATTGAATGCTGTCTTTGCATCATGCGGTGTCCCTGCAGCAGCAGCAGCAGCTGCTGCTGCTGCTGCTGCTGCTTCTAGTCTCCCCTGTTTATAGAAAATTGTTCGTTCCTGCACTGTCATGAAGGCCTCCTTCGGCCCATAGAGAGGTAAAGGCTTACCCTCATCTAGCAGCTGCTTTCTCTCTCTTAGAACTGCTTCAGTTATCAGAGGCAACTGAAAGGGTAGGCCTGCATATCTATTTCTTAACCTAACAGCTTCATTATAAGCAGGTAGGATGCCGTGAAGAGCATGAAAAGAACAGTACTTTGTCTCATGTCTAGTCAATGAGACACGTAAAGCATATTCACGAGGAGCAGGAGATGCTGCTGCTGCTGCTGCTGCTGCTGACGATGACGATGATGCTGCTGATGCTGATGATCCTGATGATGATGAAGAGGAAGAAGAAGAAGACGACGGCAGGGAAGAAGAAGAAAAACCGCTGCTGCTGCTGCTGCTGCTGCTGCTGCTGCTGCTGCTGCTGCTGCTGCTGTCAGGCTGCTGATGAAGCCCAGGGCCCCCGCTTCCTG